ATGACTTTTATATAGTAAAATTCATCATATATCACATTACCATTATAGTCAAAATGAAACGCCAACAAATTTCTCATGATCTTTTATCAGGGATCTACTTAATATCCAGGATAACTTAGGCCTAAATAGCTTACTAAGCTTTAACTATATATACTATAGTATCAACAACAAATCACAACTTTTTTTTCGCATTTAGCACAATTTTCTTCACTTTTTATTGCTATTAATATTATTGTCAGTTATTACTCTCGTCATCATCATCATTGTTATTATCATTATTACTATTAGTAGTAGTATTATTAAACAAACATTAAAAGAAACTTGCAAAAGGATAAAAACGAAATTGAACCACAGTATCGCATTTCTATCTTAAAAGACCTGGCCTGAGATTTATGGATTTAAGATTTTGTTTAATCACGCTTAGGCCTATGTGTTCTATTAGGCCTATGTATAACATGTACTGATGCATATTTACATGTTTAGAAGTATTCGTTTTGAGTGATCCCAGGAAAGAATTTGTATTGGCTCAAGAATATGCTTTAACATTTTAACACTGTGTACAAAGGGATACGTCCCTGAGTGTGTTTAGCAGAAACAAGGAGGGAAGAAGAAGGAATTGAGGAGATCAAAGGATGTGCATGGCTATATATAGACTAGAAAAAAAATCTGAAAAAAATGAGTTAGGGGGAGTGGAATGTTAGAAGCAATGCACATAGCCAGATATCCTAATTAATCCCTTCTGGTCACCCTAAGCCCTGTTGACACTTATTTACTAATATCTTTAGCCAGAATGACACAATCATTTTAAAGAAATGTTTTTCATTGTGGTCCTGGACACTTGATTTTACACCTTGTATACCAGGGCCGGCGGAACGTTTTTCAAAGTGGGGGGCCCACTTATAAGATGAATGGGAATATGAATCATGCAGATCTGGAAAAACCTAGGGGATGGGGGTCAACATTTTTCCCAAAAAGGAAAGGGGATCCGGGGGTCCTCCGCCGAGAACATTTTGATTTCTAGATGGCGGGTAATGACCTTTCTCGACATTTAAGCTAGGTTTCTAATGACTTTGTTGTTCAAAATTCAAGGTTTCCAAAGAATAGGGGGATCGGGGGGTCCTCCCCCGGGAAAATTTTGATATCTAGAAGGCGGGAAATGAGTTTTCCCGACTTCCGAGGTGTTTTTTAATTACTTTTAAGTTCTTAAAATTCAAGGTTTTCTCCTCTTGAAAACAGTCAGGTAAATTTATCCCCGTTATTACAGTAGACTATAGGCCTTATGTGTGTATACATACATAAAAAAATTGAGTAGGCCTAATTGCATACGATTTTTTTTCCATTAATCCATAAATCCCAAAAAGAAAGGGGGTCCGGGGGTTCTCCCCCGTGAATATTTTGATTCCTAGAAGGCGGGAAATGAGTTTTCCCGACTTCTGAGGTGTCTTGTAAGTTCTTTAAAATTCAAGGTTTTCTCCTCTTGAAAACAGTCAGGTAAATTTATCGCATTGTTATTACAGTAGATAGGCCTTATGTGTATATACATACATAAAAAAGAAATGAGTAGTTGCATACAATTTTTTCCATGAATCCATAAATCCCAAAAAGAAAGGGGTTCTCCCCCAGGAAAATTTTGATTCTTAGAAGGCGGGAAATGGGTTTTCCCGACTTCTGAGGTGTCTTTTAATTACTTTTAAGTTCTTTAAAATTCAAGGTTTTTCCCTCTTGAAAACGGTCAGGTAAATTTATTGCATTGATATTACAGTAGATAAGCCTTATGTATGTATACATACGTAAAAAAAATGAGTAGTTGCATACGAGTTTTTCCATGAATCCACAAATCCCAAAAAGAAAGGGGGGTCCGGGGGTTCTCCCCCGGGAAAATTGTGATTCTTAGAAGGCGGGAAATGAGTTTTCCCGACTTCTGAGGTGTCTTTTAATTACTTTTATTCTTTAAAATGCAAGGTTTCCCCTTCTTGAAAACGGTCAGGTAAATTTCTCCCATTGTTATTACAGTGTGTGTATACATACATAAAAAAAATTGAGTAGTTGCATACGATTTTTTTCCATGAATCCATAAATCCCAAAAAGGGAAGGGGGTCCGGGGGTTCTCCACAGGGAAAATTTTGATTCCTAGAAGGCGGTAAATGAGCTTTCCCGACTTCTGAGTTGTCTTTTAACTACTTTAAGTTCTTCAAAAGTCAAGGTTTTCCCCTCTTGAAAATTATTATAATGAATCAATGAACCCAAAGAGAAAAGGGAGGTTCGGGTTCTTCCCTGGGAAAATGTTAATTTCTAAATGGTGGGAAATGAGCTTTCCCGACTTCTGAAGTACCGTATCTTATAGCGATTTTAATTTAAGTTCTTCAAAACGGTCAGGTAATTTTTTCCCAATCCCAAAAAGAAAGGGGGTCGGGGGTTCTCCCCCGGGAAAATTTTTATTCCCAGAAGCGGGAAATGAGCTTTCCCGACTTATGAGGTGTCTTTTAATTACTTTTAATTTCTCCAAAAATCAAGGTTTCCCCCCCCCCTCTTGAAAATGATTCAATAGAACCAATGAACCCCAAAGAAAAAAGGGGTCCGAGTTCCCTCGGGAAAATTTCGATTTCTAGAATTCGGGAAATGACCTTCACTGACTTCTGAAATTCAAGGTTTCCCCTCTGGAAAATGGTCAAGTAAATTTTTCTCATCTTTTATGTTATGTGTGTATACATAGGCCTACATAAATAAATGATTAGTTGCATGCGTATTCTTTTTTTCCATGAATCGATAAATCCCAAAAAGAAAGGGTGATCCGGGGGTTCTCCCCCG